TGCACTGGGAGAAGGATGTGAACCTCCTCTCTGATAGCATCACATGTTAAGACAGGGAGTCTAGTTTGAGACCCAAATATTCTGTATTTTGTTTGGGTACTAAGCAGCTCTTTGTCCAGTTTATTCTGAATCCCAGGTCTGTTAAATGTTTTATTACTACCTGGGAGTCGCTGATCGCCTGTGCCCATGTGCGGGAACATACACTACATTGCCAAAAGTATTTGCTCACTTGCCTTGACTCACATACGAGCTTAAGTGACATCCCATTCCTAATCCATAGGGTTCAATTTGATGTTGGTCCACCCTTTGCAGCTAGAACAGCTTCAACTCTTCTGGGAAAGCTGCCCACAAGGTTTAGGAGTTTGTTTATGGGGATTTTTGACCATTCTTCCGGAAGCGCATTTGTGAGGTCACATACAGATGTTGGATGAGAAGGCCTGGCTCTCAGTCTCCGCTCTAATTCATCCCAAAGGTGTTCTGTCAGGTTGAGGTCAGGACTCTGTGCAGGCCAGTCAAGTTCATCCACACCAGACTCTACCATCCATGTCTTTATTGACCTTGCTTTGTGCCCTGGTGTACAGTCATGTTGGAACAGGAAGGGGTCAGCTCCAAATTGTTCTCACAAAGTTGGGAGCATGGAATTGTCCAAAATGTCTTGGTATGCTGAAGCAGTCAGAGTTCCTTTCACTGGAACTAAGGGGGCAAGCCCAGCTCCTGAAAAACAACCCTACACCTTAATCCCTCCTCCACCAAACTTTACACTTGGCACAACACAGTCAGACAAGTACCGTTCTCCAGGCAACCGCCAAACCCAGACTTGTCCATCAGATTGCCAGATGGAGAAGCGCGATTTGGCACTCCAGAGAATGCACCTCCACTGCTCTAGAGTCCAGTGGTGGCATGTTTACACCACTGCATTCGATGAATTGCATTGCACTTGGTGATGTATGGCTTGGATGCAGCTGCTCGACCATGGAAACCCATTCCATGAAGCTCTCTGCACACTGTTCTTGAGCTAATCTGAAGGCCACAAGAAGTTTGGAGGTCTGTAGTGATTGACTCTGCAAAAAGTTGGCAACCTCTTCACACTATGCGCTTCAGCATCCGCTGACCCTGCACCGTCAGTTTACATGGCCTACCACTTCACGGAGTATTGCCTGTTCAAACAGCGTAAATGCGGTGTGACTCGGGCGAGGCAGTGTAGTGCTCTGGTTCACCTCAGGGGGCGCTGTGTCATATACAATATATGAATTAGGGGTTGGAACATGCCCATTGCCGTCTCTCTTTATATCTCCAACATACATGTTTGATTACACATGTGCTACACATGATGATGTTCTACAGTCTGTGTAATATAATGAATGAATGTGTGTAACATATTTCTTCTTTCTAATCAATTATAATGTCCGCTGAAAATACAAACCGGATTCCAAAAAAGTTAGGACAATAAACAAATTGTGAATAAAAACTGAATGCAATGATGTGGAGGTGCCAACATCTAATATTTTATTCAGAATAGAACACAAATCACAGATCAAAAGTTTAAACTGAGAGAATGTATCATTTTAAGGGAAAAATCTGTTGTTTTCAAATTTCATGGCGTCAACAAATCCCAAAAAAGTTGGGACAAGTCCATTTTTACCACTGTGTGGCATCCCCCCTTCTTCTTACAACACTCAACAGACGTCTGGGGACAGAGGAGACCAGTTTCTCAAGTTTAGAAATACGAATGCTCTCCCATTCATGTCTAATACAGGCCTCTAACTGTTCAATCGTCTTGGGCCTTCTTTGTCGCACCTTCCTCTTTATGATGCGCCAAATGTTCTCTATAGGTGAAAGATCTGGACTGCAGGCTGGCCATTTCAGTACCTGGATCCTTCTCCTACGTAGCCATGATGTTGTGATTGCTGCAGAATGTGGTCTGGCATTATCGTGTTGAAAAATGCAGGGTCTTCCCTGAAAGAGATGACGTCTAGATGGGAGCATATGTTGTTCTAGAACCTGAACATAGTTCTCTGCATTAATGGTGCCTTTCCAGACATGCAAGCTGCCCATGCCACAAGCGCTCATGCAACCCCATACCATCAGTGATGCAGGCTTCTGAACAGAGCGTTGATAACAACTTGGGCTATCCTTGTCCTCTCTGGTCCGGATGACATAGCGTCCCAGTGTTCCATAAAGAACTTCAAATCGTGACTCATCTGACCACAGAACAGTCTTCCATTTTGCCACACTCCATTTTAAATGACCCCTGGCCCAGTGCAAACGTCTGAGCTTGTGGAGCTTGCTTAGAAATGGCTTCCTCTTTGCACTGTAGAGTTTCAGCTGGCAACGGCAGATGGCACGGTGGATTGTGTTCACTGACAATGCTTTCTGGAAGTATTCCTGAGCCCATTCTGCTATTTTCTTGACAGTGGCATTCCTGTTTGAGGTGCAGTGACGTTTAAGGGCCCGGAGATCACGAGCATCCAGTAGAGTTTTACGGCCTTGACCCTTGCGCACAGCGATTGTTCCAGATTCTCTGAAACTTTTGATGATGTTATGCGGTTGATGATGATAACTTAAAAGTCTTGGCTATTTTACGCTGGGCAATACCATTCTGGTATTGCTGCACTATCTTTCTGCGCAACAATGGTGGAATTGGTGATCCTCTTACCATCTTGGCTTCTGAGAGACACCGACACTCTGAGAAGCTCTTTTTATACCCAATCATGTTGTCAATTGACCTAATTAGTGTTACTTGGTCTTCCAGCTGTTCGTTATATGCTCAATTTCCTTTTTCCAGCCACTTATTGCTACTTGTCCCAACTTTTTTGGGATTTGTTGACACTGTGAAATTTTGAATCAACATATTTTTCCTTTAAAATGTTACATTGGGGGGGGGCAAATGGTATACTCATTTAAATTTGTTTAGACAAAATGGAAGATCACCTCTCAAAACTAGAGGATTTTTCTAAACTAGATTTTCAGTCAAATAGAAGGTATTAGAGACAGGAAGAAAAAAGAAGAAGAAAAAAAAGGCTAAGTTGAAATATAAGCTTCTATTTTGGATTCATATATGTGAGCATCGATTCCAGACAGTGCCTCAACTGTCACAAAGCTCACCGCACATCACTGCTTTGTTATAATGTTAAGCAAACAAATAATTGTTTTAGGTGCTTATCTTGTTAAATTTCGAAGAAATGCGCAGTGTTTCTCCTTCCTGATTTCCTCCCTACCTGCCTCCCAGAGCACCGAGGCAGCTAATGTTTTGAAATTCAGCTGATTTGACTGTTAAAGTCCTTTTATTAAGTAAAAGTTCAACTGAGACACAGCTTTACTATAAAGTTGAGCAAAAAAAAATTGGTTTTAAGTGCTGAGCTTGTTAAATTTTGAAGAAATGCACAGCGACTCGTCCCTCTGCATGCTCCCACTTCTGCAAATGGGGCTTTGAAATGCAGCTGATTTGACTGTCCAAGTGCATTTATTAAGGAAAGGTTAGACTGAGACGCCCCTTTACTATAATTTCAAGCAAACAAATTATTGTTTTTAAATGTTAATCTTGTTAAATTCTTGTTAAAGTCCTCCCATGCACGCTCCCGTGGCCGCCATTTGGCAGCCAATCAATTATTGGCACAACGCCAGTCCACATCTCTGGGTTGTCAGCGGTGACGCATAATAGATGCGACAGATCCGGCGAAGCGGCGTATTTATGGATTTTCCACTTTATTAGACGTATTTGGACTGATGCGACTTATAGGGCGGAGCGACTTATAGGGCGGAGCGACGTGTACGGCGGAAAATACTGTAACCCTGAGAAGAACTGACAAGACATGAGCCCAGTGGAGTCGCACTTATCAGTGGAAAAGTGGTTCAAGTTTGCTGTGTGGAGGAGTTAAAAAAAAAAAAGTCGGTGTCAAACTGTCACAGGTGGTCAAGTTGGGCACATCTGAACAGGACATACAAGTCTACACTGGTTAACGTGTCGCTTGAGATGGTGTGAGAACTGGCACAAATGTGGAGTAATGAGAGAAAAACGCCTGCTTCAAATTAAAGATGGAGACAGAAGATATTTGCCTGTAGGAAGTCTTTTTGGATTGTTCTTTTTGTAAAGGAAAAATCTACAGACAAAATGTCACAAAAAACTACCCAAGTTCATGCTCAGTAATCCAGGTACAAATCCAGCAATGTTCAGTCATGGACGGTTTCACTTTTTGCTGGCATGTTTCGTCCTGCATCCAAAGGACTTATTTAGTCTGAGGAGCCACAAACAAACTGGAGTCCCACAAGCACCAACTCCCACAGTGGAAAATAACAGTCACAAAAACTAGTTTAATTGTTTTAAATAACAAAAGAAAAGAAAAATAACAAAAGAAGAGAGGCAGGTGAAGTGATGCACCCATCATGCCTAGTGCTTACTGTACAAGCCTGTGGGGGCAGTCTATGATGTGGGGTTGCTGCAGTTGGTCAGGTCCAGGTTCAGCAACAGTATGAGCTCAAAGAACGAGGTCAGCTGACTACCTGAATATACTGAAGGACCAGGTTATTCCATCAATTAATTTTTTCTTCCCCGATGGCACGGGCATATTCCAAGATGACAATGTCAGGATTCATCGGGCTTGAATTGTGAAACAGTGGTTCTGGGAGCATGAGACATCATTTTCACACATGGATTGGCCACCACAGAGTCCAGACCTGAACCCCATTGAGAATCTTTGGGATGTGTTGGAGAAGGCTTTGTGCAGTGGTCAGACTCTGTCATCATCAATGAAAGAAACATGGTTTCTTGGTGAAACATTAAATTAAGTTTTGTTTCTTATGGGCAATGTAAAAGTGAAAGAACCCCTAGTTTTAGTTACTACGGGTATTACAAGTATTACAGGTATTACACGGGGACTGAGAATCTTCACCAGCATACCACGGGTATTACAAATCTTAGATCATTTTACATCAATGTGCACAGAAACACACAAACACGATGACATTGTTGTCTTCTCTGAGTTTAAAGATAACTTGCTTACCTCAGCAAGCTGGAAGAGAGCAGACTGTCCACATGGTTTTCCTTCAGTCGCCACTGACAGCAAAGACTGTGGACACACCAGAGCAAGCTTTGTTACCTGTTCAAGTGCTTTATAAATTGTTATTTACATTTCATTGTTACAGAGCTATGTTTATTCTGGACATGTTCCTACAGTTGTCTGAAAGATGGGCGGAGTGCACGTTGCTGCTGCTTCTGAGAGCACAGCCCCTTGTCCTTTTTCAGAATAAATTTTAGATAGAAAGGGGGAAAAGACCATGATAGGATAGTGGCATTACAAAAATGATCTCTTCACATCTTGTCCTTATCAGGACACGATTTAAGACATCAAAAACTTCTACCAGCAAGCACATTTATAAACACATTAAATATGCATTTGACGGCAAGACGGTGAGATTTGTCCATGAAGCACTTCCAGATGGTCCATAGTCCTGATAAGATGTTGGGGTCAGCCGGTACAGCTCTGATAAGCATTCACAGAAGTTCTCAGGGGAGAGGTGCGATAGACAGCTTGTCTACCCGAGCTAAAGGAACAGGAAGCCTTGGCTGAACGCAGAGGTTTGCACCCTGCTGGAAGCCAGGAACACTGCCTTCAGGTCTGGAAACTCACAAGAGCTGAGAAGGACAAGGAAATAACTGGTTGCTGGTATTAAGAGGGTCAAGGCCACATATGTACAGAGGATCCAGGGTGAATTCACCTCAAAAGACCCACAGAGCATGTGGAGGGGAATTAAGTGCATGAAATATTATAAAGGCAGAAGTGAAAAATGCCCTAGAGACCCATCACTGCCTGATGTACTCAACAGGTTCTACACACGCTTTGAAGACCCAACCAGATCACCCAACACCAGACTCACCCCACCATCGGACGAAGAGCTTCTCAGCGTGACCTCAGCAGAAGTAAGGAGTACTTTCAGGAGGATTAATCCGCACAAAGCAACTGGCCCAGACAACATCCCCGGAAAAGTGTTGAAAGAATGTGCTGACCAGCTCTGCGATGTGCTGGCTGACCTCTTTGACTCCTCACTTACTCTGGCAACAGTTACCACGTGCCTGAAGACCGCCCAAAGAGCTCTACAGTGGCTGGTCTGAATGACTACCGGCCAGTGGCCCTCAACCCAATAGTCGCTAAATGCTTGGAAAAACTCGTCATGACCCACATCAAAGCAACCATCAACAACAACGAGGACCCTCACCAGTACGCATACCGCAAGAATCGATCAAAAGAGGATGCCATCTCTTCTGTGGTCCACAATGCTCTCACCCACCTGGAGCAGAAGGACTCCTATGTCCGTATGTTCTTTGTAGACTTCACGCCTGCCTTCAATACCATGATCCACCAAACCCTGATGGACAAACTACTCACACTAAGACACTCCATTTGCAACTGGATCATAGACTTCTTAACAAACAGATCGCAGTCAGTGAGGATCCACAACTTCTCCTCCTCCTTTATAATCCTTAGTTAGGGATGCACAATCCACTTTTTTTAACTTCCGATCCGATCCAGATACCTAAATCTGGATATCTACTGATAGATTTCCGATATCGTCACCCTTACTGATTTTATACGAGGCTGTAATAATCTCCTGTCAAGTACAATTTGTACAAATATATGCATGCATGTCCAAAAAGGCCACTTGAGGTAAGTTTTATTAATGTTGGATAAGTTTCAAAGTTAGAATTAAATTCTGCTAACACAAAACATGTTTCTTTTTATTCCTAGCTTTAAAGTGGATATTAAAGTGATTAATTTAAGTGATTGTTTAAAGATTTTTTTTTTAAAGGGGCAGATAAGAATTTTTCTTCTTTCTGCACTCTTTTCATTCAATGTTTTATATTCGATGAATTTGTTTTATTTAGTTTCTTTTAAATGAATGAATAAATGAATTAAATAAAGTAAAATAAAAATAAAAATTAAATGGCTTTAAACATCTGCTAAGTTCATGGCAAAAAATAATGTTCCTGAGAATTTTACATTGCTTTAATGTAGTTGTTTTTGTTTGTAATTTTTAATTCATATGCTTTTTTATGATTGTCTACAGTTGTACTGATAAATAGCTCCTGGAGGGTAAACTATATCTTGGCTGCAAGTATCAAGCTGAGAAAGCCTTCGTTTTCTACAACTGATAACAGTTGGTCATTAATTACGAAGAAGTTTAGCAACTTCTCGATAAACATTCGAGCTCCGTGGCTTCAGCCGTGTGTTCTTCTCGTTCAGTCTGAAGCAAGCAGTCTGATTTCAGTCAGCCGCGCTCAGTCTGTCCCTCCTCCAAGACAGGCAGACTGAGCGGGGCAGATTGAGCACAGCTGGCCGGGGTTGGGCTGCCTGCTTCGGGTTGGGCTAGAGGAGCACACCGCCAAAGACACAGAACTCAAATGTCCAACGTAAAACTAACTTTACCGCAGTTTAATGTGGAGCTATAGCAGACATTGCATGTTGCTATCTTGCAGTGTTTAGTGTAAAATACTTCCACACAGCAGACGTTTCAATGAAAAGTTGGTTAGCCATTAGCCACAGTGCTGCTCACTCAGTCCTCACGTTTTAGCTGGCTGCAAACTATGAAATGGATTTCCTGAATGTGAGGTGGGTCTTATTACTCTGAATTTCATGAGATGCCTCCGTTCAGGAAATCCATTCCATAGTTTGAAGCCAACGTGCAGAGCAGCTGGCAGTTAATCACATGAGGAGAAGTTTCAGCAGACACAGACATGCAGCATGGATCGGAAATCTTTGCAGGTTGGATCAGAAAAATCTGATACGTAAATTATGCTGGTATCGGAGCCCGATACCAATACCAGATCGAATCGGCCCCATCCCTACCCTTAGTACTGGCTCCCCTCAGGGATGTGTGCTGAGCCCTCTCCTGTTTACTCTGCTCACACATGACTGTGCAGCTACCCATCCAGGCTGTCACATTGTAAAGTTTGCAGATGATACAGTGATGGTGGGATGTATCACAAACAATGATGAGTCCAGCTACAGGCAGGAGGTGGAACACCTGGAGAGCTGGTACAAAGAGAATAACCTTCACATCAATGTGAAGAAGACAAAGGAGATGTTGTGGACTTCAGAAGGAACAAACCAACCTACCCCCCCCCTCCCCTCCAAATCATAGGAGGATCTGCAGTGGAAGTGGTCTCCAGCTACAAGTACTTGGGTGTACACCTGAACAACAACCTCAGCTGGAGCAACAACACCACCAGCCTGATGAAGAAAGATCATCAGAGACTCTACTGCCTCAGGCAGCTGAGACGAGCTGGTCTGGAAGCTCAGTCCTCACCTCCTTCTACAGGTGTGCAGTGGAGAGCATCCTGTGCTCCAGCATCAACGTGTGTCATGGAGGCTGCACAGCTGCAGAAAGAAAAGCTTTGCAGAGAGTGGTGAAGGCTGCACAGAAGATGTTGGAGTCAGTCTCCCCACCATCACAGACATCTACACCTCCAGATGTAGGAAGAGAGCCACCTGCATCATGAAGGATCCCACTCACCCAGCACACACTTTTTTGCCCCATTCCCCTCAGGAAGGAGGTTAAGGAGCATTAAGTGTAGAACCACTAGACTGAGGAACAGCTTCTACCCTGAAGCTGTTGCTTGCTCTGCATGTGCCAGTTCTTTTTCAACTTGGCTCTTCACTTGGGCATACAACGCTGGCATGCATGTGTTTGTGATATGCTGCCGGGACGGAATCTTATATCTGGGCTCTAACGTATGAATCAAATCCTGAAATCCTTCCCCCTCCACTATACCGTACGGACATAAGCCCTTAGCGATAAAACGGGTTATTGATGCCGTTATATCCTTAGCTCGTGATGAACTGTTGCCGAGTTGCCCGTAAAATTTAGGGCTAACGTTACTCGTCGCTCTCTGTGTGGCAGCTGCCTGCTCCTGCTCGTTGTTATGGGGCTTGAGAAGTCCGCCATACTCCTCTCTGCATTTTCTCATTGCATTTTTATCAAGGTTTGTTGTGCTATCTTGTGCTATCAGTGTACTTTAGAGGTGCTCTGCATAGCTTACAAATAGCGTGGCTTTTGTCGAGTTTTCCGTCCTTCTTGTAAAACCCGAAAACATTCCACACTTTAGATTTTTGTCTGGCTGCTGTATTGAAAGTCTTTTGCGGTGACCCGCTAACGCTGCTACTATTTACATCCATTCTCGTCGTCTTGGTGAACTACGGAGCACGCATAGCTTCGCGGGAATTTCCGACTCTCGTGTTGTTTTAGAAACGCACTGTCAACAGAGCTAGTCTCGCGATATCCGGTCCATGTCTCTTCAACTGGTTCATCTCAGTATTTGTGGCTGGTTGCTGTCGATTTATACGGCTGCTACCAACACAACCATATCGCTAGCTTGTGAAACCGGATATCCGGTCGTATCGGTTTATCTATAACAACCCTAGTGTTTTTACAAGACTGTTTCCCAGCAGAACTGCTTTTATCAACTAAAGTGTTACAAATGACTTGTCAGACTGACCTGAATAGAATGTGTGTGCGTCAGAGACTCTGGAAAACTTCTGACGATAACAAGAATGTTCGTGTGCTGTTTCAGAAGTGTATAAAAACTCTAACGTCCCTATCAGAAGGGTTCTGTCTTTGAGGTCTCCAGGTATTTTGGCTGTTCCACCTTAGAGATAAAAGCTTCAACATAAAACCCCCATTTTCCTGTCAAACAGAACCAAGGTGTCTCTTGTTTTATTTCATGAACCCAAAAGTATTTAATGTAGTATTAGCCACTACAATACCTCTCCGACCTTCTTCATCCTTATGCTCCTTCTCGGGCCTTGAGATCATCAGACCAGCTGCTTTTGATGGTACCAAAAACTAGGTTGAAGCTCAGAGGAGGTCTGGCATTTTCAGTCATGGGCCCTAAACTCTGGAACAATCTGCCCATCAACATTCGACAGGCCACCTCAGTCTGTATTTTTAAATCTCTCCTCAAAACACATCTGTACTCACTGACACATCTGTACTCACTGACATTTAACACAGTGTGATCTCATTTGGTATTTCATTGTTTCTCATTATATTTCATGTTTTTATGCTTTTATTCATATTGGTGTAATATGTTATTAATAATATATGATGCTGTGATCTTTTATGGTAAGCACTTTGATAACAGTTACTGTTTTAAATGTGCTATATAAATAAATGTGACTTGACTTGACGTGCATCTCAGTGGGGCATGGGTGCTCTTCATGACCCTGTTGCTTTGTTGAAAATATTTTATTGATTACATTGAAAGTCCAGCTGACCAAATCCATGACAGCAGTCAGTAAATTTGCAATTCCCACTATATTAAAGTCCTTTTGAAACACAAAAAATAATTTAGTCTGGAGTTAGCATGAATGCGGGTGAAAGAAAAAAGAATGGTCTTTTTTTATTGGAGTTAGCTCTCGCCAAACATCTAGAAGTCCCAATTACTTTATAATTAATTTAATATTTTTGGTTGTTTTGTTTAATCCCATCCTATGTGGATTTGAGGAGTCCAGAGATGGATTAAGTTTAAATTTAAATCACCTCCCAATATTACAATGCCTTGTGCTTCTACTGCAATCGGTTAAAAAAAAAAATTTATGAAATTTAAGCTCTGATCCTGGTGGGGCATATATGTTTATAAACGTAATCAAAATAACCTCTAAATATCCCTTTACTAGCATAAATTTGCCTTCCTTATCCATTTTCTCTTGAATATAATTAAAGAGAAGCCTGCTTGAAGTTAAAAAGGTCACCCCTCTTTTAGAGCCTTCAGTACAGGAAGATGAATACTGGTAGAATTTCCATTAAGTTTTTTGTGCTCTGACTGTGTTTAATGGGTTTCCTGTAGGAGGGCAACTTCTATACCTTCCTTTTTTAATTTCAACATAATTTTCTTTCTCTTAATGGGATTCCCCAACCCATTTACATCACAAGATACTAGTTTAATCGCTTTAACACTCTGCATTGTACAAACGTTGTATCATAGACCTCTCTGTACATAGAGAACAAAACTCACCACATACCCCTGAAAAATAAAAAAAAATTTAAAAGATGAACGTCATTCCGTCATCATTTCAGGACTCTTTGGTGGCGCAGAGGTTAGAGAAGGTGGGCCCAACATCGCCGGTTCAAGCCCCGATACCAACAACATCAAAATGTGGGTGGGGTAGGTAAAGCACCCACAACTGCCCCCACCCTAATTCATCCCACTCTGGGCCCTTGAGCAAGGCCCTTAACCCCCACCATCTGCTCCTCCGGGTGTCCTATATAGCAGCTCTCTGCTCCACACAGAGGCTGTGGTAGCTCGGTGGTCTATGGTTGCGTCAGGAAAAACATCCGGCGTAAAAAAAACCTGCAAAGTCTTCGTGCGACTTAATTCGCTGTGGCCACCCCTGAAGAAGGGAGCAGCCGAAAGAAAAAACACGTCTATCGTGGGGGTGTGTTCTCGTGACTCAATCAGAGTAAGGTACCTCATTGATCATTAGGGTGACTTCAGGTCACATGGCCACAGTGTGGGATTATGGATATATATAGTAGAAGCCAAATTGGAATCATGAGCGAGAAGTACCTGTCATGTATACCTGTGGCATTCACACGGAGTCACAAAAACCCGCCCTCAAGAGGGATGTGTGTTGGGCAGCTGTATGAGGGTCCAGGTGTGTCAAAGGAAAATGTTATTCGGCAGCAGACGGGAAGCTCAACAGCCCGTCAAAAAAAAAAAAAAAAAAAAAAAAAAAAAAAAACATAAATTATCTGCTCCTGATATCCTGATGCATGCTCAATAATCCAGGTAGAAAAATCTAAAAAAGTTAAATCTGGTCCTCTGGACATTCAAAAAATCAAAACAAAGCAAAACAACAAAAAAATATAGAAACGTTTCGTCTCTCATCCTGAGGACTTCCTCAGTCTGAGGAGCTGTATTCAGCTCAGTCTCTTAAATAGCACCTTCTCAGAGTGGATCAACCAGTTTGCTGCTGACAACCAGAACCAGCTGCTCACATGCTCAAGAAGGACCATCAGCCTAACAATGGATCATTAGCACCTGATGGCTGTTTACTGTTCACAGAGGGCTGAGTGATACTAGCAATCACAGCATTGTAAGAGGGGGACAGTTGAACCTGGAGGCTCCACCCCTGTTTAATGATGGACGGTTTCTTTTCACAAAGATGGCCTCCTTTACTCCTCTCTCAAACCATCGTTCCTCTCTGTCCAGGATGTGAACATCTTCATCCCTGAAAGAGTGACCTCTGGCCTGGAGATGAGTGTAGACCGCAGAGTCCTGGCCTGATGATGTTGATCTTCTGTGCTGGTCCATCCTTTTGGCCAGTGGCTGTTTAGTTTCCCCGATGTAAGACTGATCACCCTCCTGACACTTAAGGGGGACTGGATCTTTGGGATGAACCAGTCTTTAATGTATTTTGGGGTTTAAAAGCCACTGGGACGTTATGTTTAGAAAATAAACGTCTCAGTTTCTCTGATACTCCCTCAACATCTGGAATGACCACTGGTCTGGGTCTGGGTTCCTCCTTTTCACCTGTTGGCTGACTGGAGTCCTGTTTGGGTTTCTTATGGGTTATGACTGGGTTTCATATGTTGAGGGAGTATCAGAGAAACTGAGATGTTTATTTTCTAAACATAACGTCCCAGTAGCTTTTAAACCCCAAAATACATTAAAGACTGGTTCATCCCAAAGATCCAGTCCCCCGGCACAAACAGAGTAATGTTGTGTATGCTGTTCAGTGTCAGGAGGGTGATCAGTCTTATATCGGGGAAACTAAACAGCCACTGGCCAAAAGGATGGACCAGCACAGAAGATCAACATCATCAGGCCAGGACTCTGAGGTCTACACTCATCTCCAGGCCAGCGGTCACTCTTTCAGGGATGAAGATGTTCACATCCTGGACAGAGAGGAACGATGGTTTGAGAGAGGAGTAAAGGAGGCCATCTTTGTGAAAAGAAACCGTCCATCATTAAACAGGGGTGGAGCCTCCAGGTTCAACTGTCCCCCTCTTACAATGCTGTGATTGCTAGTATCACTCAGCCCTCTGTGAATAGTAAACAGCCATCAGGTGCTAATGATCCATTGTTAGACTGATGGTCCTTCTTGAGCATGTGATCAGCTGGTTTTGGTTGTCAGCAACAAACTGGTTGATCCACTCTGAGAAGGTGCTATTTAAGAGACTGAGCTGAATACAGCTCCTCAGACTGAGGAAGTCCTCAGGATGAGAGACGAAACGTTTCTATATTTTTTTGTTGTTTTGCTTTGTTTTGTTTTTTTGAATGTCCAGAGGACCAGATTTAACTTTTTTAGATATCTGCTCCTGAGTATCAAACGCAGAGTCCAAAGCGTGAGAAAAAAGTACTGGCTTTTACAACAGAAATAACGATACTTATCCCCCAAAAAAATTTCTAGCGAAAACAACAATTTATTGGCTAAAAAGATTACATTTATTGTTGATAAATAATTGTAATATCAAGGCACCAACAGAAAAGTTATAGTTCACAATTGAGTAGGGCGTGAGTAGATCAATTGATATGTGGTGTAGGAATAAAAACAAGTCAGTTATGTAACATATTGTAACAGCATGTCCTTTCATTAGAGCCTACCTCCTCTATTGCAGAAAGGGTTGACTTTACCCTGCTTTCAGGAACATCAGGCACTCTGTTTGGAATAATTTGAGACAGTATCTGTGGAAGTCAGAAACAGATTCCTGTGTTACTACAAAAGATATATTGAATAAATACATTCAAACTATAATAATTATACCTTTGGAATCGCTAAAAGGCACAAAAATAAACCATCCTAAAGCAAATAGTAGCTTGTTTCACATTAGAACAAGACTGTTACACCATTTTAATGACAGTGCATTCATGTGCAAAATAAACAAATTTAATTACTAATTAAAGTAGTTGAGGTTTGAACAACATCATATGTAGTGGTGATTTTAGTCTCCTTTTTGGGGGGATCAAGCACTCCTACATTTTAACTCAGAACTCCTGGAAAAAAAATGGAAAAAAACTACATTATATATACAGGTCCTTCTCAAAAAATGAGCATATTGTGATAAAGGTCATTATTTCCCATAATGTAATGATAAAAATGAAACTTTCATATATTTCAGATTCATTGCACACCAACTGAAATATTTCAGGTCTTTAATTGTTTTAATACTGATGATTATGGCATACAGCTCATGAAAACCCAAAATGCATGTCCCAAAAAATGAGCATATCATGAAAAGGTTCTCTAAACAAGATATTAACCTAACCATCTGAATCAACGACGTAACTCTAAACACCTGCAAAAGATTCCTGAGGCTTTTAAAAACTCCCAGCCTTGTTCATTACTCAAAACCACAATCATGGGTAAGACTGCCGACCTGACTGCTGTCCAGAAGGCCATCATTGACACCCTCAAGCAAGAGGGTAAGACACAGAAAGAAACTGTTGAACGAATAGGCTGTTCCCAGAGTGCTGTATCAAGGCACCTCAGTGGGAAGTCTGTGGGAAGGGAAAAGTGTGGCAGAAAACGCTGCACAACGAGAAGAGGTGACCGGACCCTGAGGAGGATTGTGGAGAAGGGCCGATTCCAGACCTTGGGGGACCTGCGGAAGCAGTGGACTGAGTCTGGAGTAGAAACATCCAGAGCCACCGTGCACAGGCGTGTGCAGGAAATGGGCTACAGGTGCCGCATTCCCCAGGTCAAGACACTTTTGAACCAGAAACAGCGGCAGAAGCGCCTGACCTGGGCTACAGAGAAGCAGCACTGGACTGTTGCTCAGTGGTCCAAAGTACTTTTTTCAGATGAAAGCAAATTTTGCATGTCATTCGGAAATCAAGGTGCCAGAGTCTGGAGGAAGACTGGGGAGAAGGAAATGCCAAAATGCCAGAAGTCCAGTGTGAAACACCCACAGTCAGTGATGGTCTGGGGTGTCATGTCATCTGCTGGTGTTGGTCCACTGTGTTTTATCAAGCGCAGGGTCAATGCAGCTAGCTATCAGGAGATTTTGGAGCACTTCATGCTTCCATCTGCTGAAAAGCTTTATGGAGATGAAGATTTCATTTTTTCTGCTAGCAGCATAATCCTATTAGCAGAGTGGTTCTGTTGGCAGTGAGGTTTCTCTTAGCAACATGGTCTCATTGGCACCATGGTACTGTTAGCAGTGTGGTTCTGTTAGAAGCATAGTCTTGTTTGCTGGTCCCGTTAGCAGCATGATGATAACGAGTGCAGCAACTGCCCTCCTAGACTGTCCTCTAGAAGCGGGTCCGGCAGGCAAAGAACATTTAAGGTTTCCTGTGAAACCGAACGGGTCTGTAGAGTTCGGTCAGTGCAGGCAGATGGAGAATCATAGAGATGGCTGCCATGACAGGCTGGAGCCTGAGCCTGTGGGTGTGCAATGGAGGTGCAAAAAAAGTTAAAACAAAAGCAACAGGAACAAAAAAAGACGAGTCAAAGCAGTGCTCCGGTCAGTGCTACCATTCTGTTACGCAAGTGACGTCAGACTCGTTTTTTGTATTCGAGCCACTTCGCCTGTTGTGGTTCTTAACTGTCCTATAATCGAACTTCAATTTCTTTAGCTTATCCCAACACTGCTTATAATTCGGGCGGTAGCCATGCTGTGCCACCATCTCTGATATCTCTCAGTAAATGTGCTCATTTCTTGTGGCGCCTCATCAACACGATGAAGTGGAGGTTTTGATGTGGTGTTGCAGTTTTGCTGGGTTGCATCATCCACTGACGAAGCTCTGCTGGCCAATCCACAGCTGCCCTCTGCTTACATCAAAATTGGACCCTTGGAGCAGTCCGCTTGGAACCATGAACAAGGTGGTCCCATAAACCAGACTGAGTGGGGATGGGTACTGACAGTGGAGAGGCCCTTAACTGTTGCGGTGTCGTGCAGGGCCGAGGAAAGTTAAGACAGTGGCAAAGTGCCATTGGTGACCAGTTTGCAGGTCACAGTGGATAACTTTTGAACAGCACAACAAAATGTCTGACTCTCAATATAAGGATGGAGTGGACAATTTGAACATAGCCATACAGAAATATGAACAAAAAAAAAAGCTGTAATTGTAACTGCAAACTTATTCACACCATATCATCCATAAAAACAGTTTCCATTATTATCTGATCTAATGTGTACTGATTATGGGGAGAAAGAATAATGGACACACCTCTTCCTTTTCCTCTGGACAGGAGCTTTCTTCATCCACCATGCCAGGTAAACTAGGTTTAGTGCTTGAAGGAATCTGAAGAAGAAAACATTTGGGTTGGCGAGGGCATAACAACTTAAATTCAAAAACTGTAAAAACTGCAGAATTTCTGAAGAGATATTGAAAAGTGCTGATTCAACCTGATGCATGCTCAATAATCCAGGTAGAAAAATCTAACAAAGTTAAGTTAGGTCCTCTGGATGGATTCAAGAACAAAATAAAAATTTAAAATAAAATTAAAAATTGTTGAAACGTTTCAACTTCAGTCTTATAAATGGCACCTTCTCATAGTGAATCAACTAGTTTGCTGGTGACATCAGGCTATCAGGCTCCGCTCTTGTGGAGCCAACTTCCAGTTTCTGTCCATGAGGCTGACACATTGTCCAGTTTTAAAATTAGACTCAAGTCTTTCCTTTGTAATAAATACCATAGTTAGGGTTGGCTTGGGTTCCCTTAGATATGCTGCTATAGGCTTAGACTGCTGGAGGACAAACTGACCACATTTCTTCACTATGCTGTCTTTACTTACTCTACTCAACTTGTTTTGTATTTGTAATTAGTTTTTCTATCCTTGCCATGCGTTTTGGTCTGTCAGGTACACCTGCACCTACATCTGAGCATGCCATTCTGTGTTTGTTTTTCTCTCCTTCCTGTCCTCTCAAACCCAGCTGGCTGAAGCAGAAGGCCACTTGTCCTGAGCCTGTTTCTAGTGGAGGTTTCCATCCATTTATCCATCCATTATCTTCCGCTTGTTCCAAAGTTGGGTTGCAGGGGCAGCAGCTTGAGCAGGGAGGCCCAGACATTTCTCTCCACAGCCACCACTTCTAGCTCTTCTGGGGGGACCCCAAGGCGTTCCAAGGCCAGCTGAGAGACATAGTCTCTCCAACGTGTCCTGGGTCTTCCCCGGGGGCACCTCACAATCGGACATGCCTGAAGCACCTCCCTAAGAAAGTGCCCAAGGAGCACCCTAACAAGATGCCCGAATCACCTCAAATGGCTTCTCTCAATGTGGAGGAGCAACAGTTCTACTCAGAGTCTTTCCTAGAGAACTGAACAGCTCACCCAATCGCTAAGGGAGAGTCGAGCTACCCTGTGGAGGAAATTCATTTCAACTGCCTATATCTGCAATCTCATTCTTTCAGTCACTACCTACAGCTTGTGACCATAGGTGAGGGCAGGAACATAGACTGACCGGTAAACAGAGAGCTTTGCATTACAGCTCAGCTCTCTCTTCACCACAACGGACTTGTACAGCGTCTGCAATACTGCTGATGCTGCACCAATCCATCTGCCAATCTCACACTCCATTCTTACCTCACTTGTTAAAAAAAAATACTATGAGATACTTAAACTCCTCCACTTGAGGCAGAACCTTGCACTTGACCTGAAGAAAGCAATCTACTTTTTTCCAGTTGAGGATCATGGCCTCAGATTTGGAAGTGCTGATTCTCATCCAAGCTGCTTCACACTCAGCTGCTAACCACTCCAGTGAGAGATCAAGAGCACGGCATGATAACGCCAACAGGACCATATCATCTACAAAGAGCAGAGATGGAATCTTGAGTCCATTGAACTGGAATCCCTCTGCCAGCTGGCTGCAACGAGAAATTCTGTCCATAAAAGTTATGAACAGAATCTGTGACAATGGGCAGCCCTGGTAGAAAAGGGAACCACCGCCCCAGTCTGCCAATCCAGTGGCACTGCACCCGATGTTCATGCGATGTTGCAAAGACTTGTCAACCAAGACAGCCCCACAACATCCAGAGTCTTAAAAGAAATCAGGGCGAATCTCATCCACCCCCGGAGCTCTACTGGCGTGGAGCTTTTTAACTGCCTCTGCGACCTCAGAATAAGCCCAAAGTCCCCCCAACTCTGCTTCCTCCATGAAAGATGTGCCAGTGAGATTGAGAAGGTTCGCAAAGTATTCCTTCTAACTCCCGACGACATCACTGGTTGACGTCAACAGCACTCCACTTTCATTGAACACAGTGTTAGTAAAATGCTGCTTTTCCCTCCTCTGCCGCCTGATGGTTTGCCAGAATCTTCTCGGAGCCAACTGAGTCATTATCCAGGGTCTCACCGAACTCCTCCCACATCCGAGCTTTTGCCTCAGCAAAAACCAAGGCTGCGGACCACTTGGCCCTCCGGTACTCCTCAGCTGCTTCTGGAGTCCCACCAGCCAACAAGGACCGATAGGACTCTTTCTTCAGCTTGACAGCCTCCCTAACCCAGGGTGTCCACCACAGAGTTCGAGGATGGCCGCCATGAGAAGCACAGATAACCTTACGGCCACAACTCAAGGCAGCCACTTTAACATTTGAGTCACGGAACATAGCCCACTCGGACTCAATGTTCCAAGCCTCAGCTGGGATGGGTTAAAGATATCCCAGAGGTGTGAGTTGAAGATCTTTCTGACGGATTCTTCTGTCAGGCGTTCCCAGCAAACCCTCCCTACATGTTTGGGTCTACCATGTCAATCCAGCATTTTCCCCCACCATCTGATCACCACTACCAGGTGGTGATCAGTTGACAGCTTAGCTCCTCTCTTCCCCTGAGTGTCCAAAACAAATGGCCACAAATCAAATGACATGAGTACAAAGTCAATCATCGATCTACGACCTAGGGCGTTCTGGTGCCAAGTGCACTTATGGACACCCTTATGTCCGAACATGGTATTCATGAGGTACTGGAGGTTTCTTCCTTTTTAAAAGGCATTTTTCCTTTCCACTCTTGCATTTCTGCTTGCTCAGGATGGGAGACTGCGACAAAGTGAAGAGTTAACGAGTCTGCTGGCTTCCTTACAGCCTACTGATAATGTAAACATCTCCCGCTGAGGCTTTGTGTTAAACCACATGCGGACAGACGAGCTCCCATCAGTGCGGCCATGCTGCGGCGCTCACTACGCTGTGTGATACACTGCCACCAAAAGTAAAAAAAAAAAAACTATTTCTGATTGAGCTGTGAAACTTGTCCAGATGACATGATTTTAATTCAAATTCAAATTCAAAAATACTTTATTAATCTCAAAAGGAAATTCAGTGTTGTCGTAGCTCATCATCCTGGTTTCATTAAAGAGTTGTTATAGATGCCGATAGCTGTGGGCAGGAAGGATCTCCTGCAGCAAATTCGAAGAATCTGGCTACAGATACCGATCCGTCCATTTGGATCCATCGTGGTGTCAGATGCGGCGGGCCTCTTGGTCCTCCTGGGCAGCAGTACTGCCCGAAACCTCCTTGTCGCCATGGACAAACAGCTGAAGGTGCTGGGGTGTGATCGCGGTCCTCCTGTTGTCACGAGTCGAGTTTCCCAACAGCTCCATGATCTCGGCGGTCCGGTACTAGATCACCGCTGCCAGGTTGATGGGAATTCATCCAAGGCACCTCCTTTTCAACTCATTTGGGAATAATGGCTGTAGCTGAGGTAGTTGAGTTTTTGAGATGGTAATCAGCTGCTCCTGGTTGTTAAAAAAAAACACCTTGTTGCCATAGTTACGCATCATAACAAATGCCCAAAAGTAAAAAGGTTTCAGTAAAAATCCTTTTCGATACACTAGCATCTGATACCAGAGTAAATAATCATTTGAAAAAAATAATTTACATCCAGAAAGAAGAGGAATTAAACAACAAAGTCCATGCTCAATAATCCGGGTATAAAATCCAACATTTTTCAGTCAGGTCATCTGGATAGTTTCTTTTTTTGTGCTGAAACGTTTCGCCTTCGATCCGGAAGGCTTCATCAGTCAAGGAAACGCACAACAAAACTGATTCTTCTCCCAAGAGCTTACTCCAAAGTGGAACAAACCAGTTCTGCTTGTGATTAGATGGTCTCTTTTTTTTTTCCATTGACCCTTTATTTATCCAGGTAGTCTCATTGAGCCACGAGAACTCATTTTCAAGAGAGACCTGTTTAGGGAGCAGATGGTGGGGGTTAAGGGCCTTGCTCAGGGGCCCAGAGTGGGGCGAATGAGGGTGGAGGCAGGTGTAGGTGTTTCACTTTTTCCACCCACATTTCGATGTTGACGGTACCGGGAGGTGAACCCGCGACTTTCCGATCGCAAGCCCATCTTCTAACCTCTGCGCCACCACTCCCCACTCTTTGGTACGCCCCTCCTCCATTGCCGGCCCTCTTCCTTGTTGACAGTCTTGTCAAACTGGTTGAAAACAACAAAGTCCATGCTCAATAATCCAGGTATAAAATCCAACATCCGTTGGTCCGTTTTAATCGAACTCTAGCTCGTTTTCCTAGGAAGTCTGGTTCGTTTGGGGAGGTGTGAACGCGCCATCGAACTCTGTCACGGAACAAAAAGGCGAACTCTGGCCCGGGCTAAAACCTAGGTCTCGGTCCGGTAGAAGAGAACTCCAGTGTGGTTCGAATACAGTGTGAATGTTAGCAGACTGGGCCCCGTTCCACAAGCAAGAAGTGGAGTACAGCGCAGGGCAAACAAACACGCATTTCTCTTAGCTCATATGGAGCCGTCAGCTGCCTCGTGTGAAAAACAATATTCTCCATGGTCTTCTGTCTCATCTTCTGCTCATGCTGAGTCCATTGTTGAAAAATGACAAAATATAACTCCTAAAACTGCTAAAACTTGATGCCACTCCGTTTTTGATTTTATTTCCAGAAGAAGAAGACGAAGAAGAAGAAGAAGAAGTGTCTTCAGAGGTTTTTGTGTCGTTTCTTTCAGTAGTTCTTGGTGCAGCGCCCCCACAAGCGAGCAGGGGAATAGGTAGGTTCAACAGGTTGACTCGACTTCACAGTGCAGTGTGAATGCAAACGCACCAGCTCAAATGTAACAAAATGTTATGAATATTGGCCCCCAACCGAACCGAGTCTACCGGACTATCAGGTGTGAAAACAACCTAACAGAGCTACTCCAACATGCAGCCACCCTGAGCAGCGCAATTCTAGAAACTTAAGTGTATAATTAGTGTATAATTTTCACATTTTATTTCAAAGCAGTGCACTGAGACAGGACAAAAACTAACAGGCTAGTAAAAAGGGTGCTTCAAGGCTTATGCATTGGCACCTTTAATAAAAGGTATGTTTGAACAACTAGCTATCAAAACAAAGGATAGTTTGGGCAGCAAAAGGATAAACTTACCTCTCTGTTGGTGAGGGCATGTTCACCAGCTAACAGCAGCATGCTCAGGCCTCCCATCTTTGTAGGGTCTTGCGACAAATGACAGAAGTTACAAAAGAAACCCAAGACATTATCATTTTGCTACAGACTAACACTTTTTACGATACACACCTGCCATGGCGAAGTTTAACTGGGGCAAACTCTCAGTTTTGGGCACTTTTTTGGCAGTGGAGTCCTTGGGCGAGTTGCATGATAAGGACCAAACTTTTTTGCGAGGACTGCCGACTGGCTGACAGCAAGAGGTCTTAACTGGTTTGCTTGTAGTGGGACACCACTTGTACCCTGGGTTTGCCTTCATAAAGGCATCTTTGTACTGGAAGAGCATACAAAATTGAATTAGTTGCCCTGCAAATCTTTACTTTTGACAAGCATCTCTAATTTAAGCAGAATCAATTAATTTTGTTGCCAGGTATGCCAACACAAAAGCCTCTGGTGCATTCATGAACTTATAGGTTAGGTTTATTTGTCATGTGCAAAAACAATACAAGGTTAATAATGCAATGAAATGCTTTGGACGAGAAGAACCGTCTCGACTCGCCAAAAAAAAAAAAAAAAAACAACAAGAAATATCAAAGCATGCAACAAAAATACTAAACACACTAAAAAAAACTAACAACATACCAGTACTAAAAAACATATTAAAACTACTACTAAAATACTAAAAAACAAGATGCCAAAGTTGAAAAAGAAATGCATCCATAGTGTGATTGGGTTAGGAGTGATATGAACAACACAATTTAACAGCATTAATAAAAACAGAAGTACAGTGCATCCTGAACATCCAGTTGTTCACAAGTAATTATCTTTTTCTACTTATGTTGCATTTATTCCAAAATAGTTTAAATAATATTCCATCAAAACTCTACACGTAATATTCTCAGTGTTTCTCCTACCATTACAAGCAGGCCGCCCCGCCCTGTCAACAGAACCGAGCGCCCTGCCTACCGACGCCACCCCTCGCAACATCTGCAGGCACTGCCGTAGCACTACGCTAGCAGGGCACAATACAGACATGCTAGCTAAAAAGCAATAGAAAAAAGCTCCATTTCCCTCAAGCTGAACCATCTCCACCCCACTCCCACCCCCCTTAAGGAAGGAAATAGAGCTGCTGCACATAATCTTGACATTTCCTGGTAGGTTACTATACAAATATATATACATATATACATATATATATACATATATACATATACATACATATATTCAATTCAATTCAATTCAAAAATACTTTATTAATCCCAGAGGGAAATTAAATGTTGTTGTAGCTCATTTTCCTTGTTTCATAAAAGAGTTGTTCTAGATGTTGATGGTTGTGGGCGGGAAGGATCTCTTGTGATGGTCCGTCTTATAGCAGATCTGAAAAAACTGGCCACAGATGTTGATCCGTTTACTTGCACTTGGTTGGCCTCCTGGGCTTCAGGATCACCTGAATGTTGGGCAGAAATCCTCCCAGGGCAATGGCCACTCCTCCCAGCAGCTTGTTGAGCTCCTCGTCGCTGTGGACAGCCAACTGTAGGTGCTGAGGGACGATCCCGTCCTTCCGCTGTCATGAGCCGTGTTTCCTGCTAGTTCCAGGATCTCAGTGGTCAGGCACTCGAGCACAGCTGAGCTTTTGAGACGTTAATCAGCTGATGTTGGTTGTAGAAAACTGCCTTGTTGCCATGGTTACGCATCATAACCAATGTCCAAAACTAAAAAAGTTTCAGTAAAAATCCTTCCAGCTGCACAGCATCTGATACCAGAGGAAACAATCATCCAAAAAATGTGAGTTACATCCAGAAAAAGAGGAATTAAAGTTTCCAAAATCAAAATCTCAGAATGAAAGTAACAGCTGCTCCAACATGCGGCCACCTGGAGCGGCATAATTGTAAATAGCAAAAAGTCTCAGTCTCTTAAATAGCAATCCACTCTGAGAAGGTGCTATTTAAGAGACTGAGCTGAATACAGCACCTCAGACTGAGGAAGTCTCTCGGATGAGAGACGAAACGCATCTACATCTTTTTGCTTTGTTTTTTTTTTTTGAATGGCCAGAGGACCAGGTTGAACTTTTTTGGATTTCTGAGTGGAGTTTTCATGTTCTCCTCAGGCTTGCAGGGGTTTTTTCTGGGTATTCTGGTTTCCCAACCCTTTTCTATCTCACTTATAACTTTGCTGGAACTGTACGCCTGAGTTTAGACAAAGTAAACATGGAGTCTTATAGTAATTTTACCTCCTTGGCCATGTCTGTGTATTTCTGCTTCTCTTTGGGCTCCAACACAGCCCACCAATCAGCCAGGATTTTAGTGGCCCCCCGATTGTCAAGTCGAGGGTGTTCCTGCCGAACCAGGGAACGATGGCGTTTGCAGAAGAGGAGGAAGGCATTCATCGGCCGACGTGCTCGCTGTTCACTGGAGTCTTCCTCAGTTTCTTCTGTTGTGCTTCCACGCTGCACCTGTGGATCCTGATTGCACAGCACTGGCTGCTGATAATAAAGTCAGAAACTGCAATGCCATGCCTCTCTTGTGAGAAGAATGTACAGTTTGTTCCACAACACAACACACACACGAACCTTCTCCAGATCCTCTTCATCTTCCTCTTCTTCCTCCTCAGAGAAGTCCAGTGTCTTCTTGGAGAGAAGGGGGTGCCATTGCAGGCATTTGCGTTTGGGCCGTTTGCCAGTGACCTCCCCTGCAACAGGTGGCTCCTTTCCCCTTCCTCCACTTTTCATGGTACTACCACACCTATAAAATACAAGAAAAACAATTATACAGAGTTAAGAAAGTACAACGTTAAAACAGAGTCTGTCAAAATACTTTTATTCATGTTTTAAGCTTAAGAGAACTTTGTGATGAGTAATAACTGGAAAATTTAAAGCCTTTGCAATTCCTGCAAATGGTTGTTCTTGGTGAAAGTTACTGCCCAGTGAGTTCTTCACATACAGTACATGATGTTTTAAATTTTCAGACTCTTGAAATTTGTTAAAAAAATTAAACAGACAAAGGCAAATTTGTTTGTACCCTTTTATTAAAAAGTTAAAACCCACAAAAGTCGCTGTAATAATTTGAAATTGACAAAAAAAGAAAAGAAAAAAGAGGCAATCAACTTTTGGAAATCAGTCATTGCTTTGGAATTGTGGTTGATCAGAACTATAAAAAAAATTAAAAAATCAAATGAAAATGGCCTACAGTAAAAGGATGGAAACCCTGGAAAAGATTAAAATAACTGACTACAGAGACATGTTAAAGTAAAGTGTGTCCTGCAATCAGCGTCACAGGTGTCTTCAACCTTGTAATTAGTAGTCTGCCTGTTTTTAGGGTGAAACGTAGTCACTGACCTGCTTGGTATTGTGGTTTATACAACACTGAACACGGACAACAGGAAGCTGAGGACAGAGGGTGCAGGAGCAGCGAGAGCAATGACGAGTTAAAGCAGGCTCTTTGCACCACATTTAAAGCCATTAAAATAGTTTTACCAAATTCCAGCTCTGAACGACAATAAAATTATGCTGGTGAAGATTCTCAGTCATCCAGGACATGATGAATTCAAAAAGTGTTCAATACAAAAACAACTGGACTTTATTTGTAACAGAAGACGTTTCGCTCCTCATCCGAGGAGCTTTCTCAACAATTCAAAGAGCAGACCAACTTGACCCCAGACCAGATGTGCACCCTGTTGGATCTCTGCCTCTCCACCACTTATTTCAAGTTCAATGACAGTTTTTACAGACAGAAGCACGGCTGTGCCATGGGATCTCCAGTGTCACCCATTGTTGCCAATCTCTACATGGAGGAAGTGGAACAGAGAGCCCTAAACTCCTATGAGGGAACTAAGCCAAGCCATTGGTTCCGTTATGTGGATGGCACCTGGGTCAAAATCCAAGCCAAGGAAATAGAAGCGTTCACCAGACACATTAACTCGGTCGATAACAACATCAAGTTCACCAGAGAGGATGCAAACGACAACAA